GGGACTTAGAGGCGGGGCGGGGCATGGACATAGGGAAGGGGGCTGTGCTAGGAGGCAAAGGGAGGGGAGATATAGAGGAGGGGTTAGTGCCTGGTACTTAGTAGGCGCTTAATTAATGACAGTTGCATTGAATGATGAGAAAATAAATGGAGAAGGGCAAAGGATCTCAAGCAGAAAAGGGAAAGTACTAGGTAGTGCCTTAGACCTAGAGTTAGGAAGGCCCGAGTTCAAATCTTGTCCCTGACACTAGCAGTGTGACCCTGGGCAAGTCACCTAACCACTGTCTGCTTTAGTTTCTTCATCTCTGAAATAGAGATAATAATAGCATTTACTTCTCAGGGTTGTTGTGAGGATCAAATGAGACAGTAGTTGTAAAACTCTTAGCAGAGTGCCTGGCACATAGTAAGTGCTATATAAGTGTTAGCTATCATTATTATTCATAATAATAATGAAAAGGGAAGAGAAGGAAAGTTTGAAGTTCCAAAAGCTAGCTGACTGTCTACTTTGGTATCACTTTGGTGATCAGTTCTTCCAGGAAATCTTCCCTGATTCCTCCAGGGATGGGCTTAAGTCTCTACACTACTGATTACTGGCCACGTGAGCCTGGGAAGTTCACTTGACTCCTCTGGGCCTTATTTTCCTCACAAATAAAATGAAGGGATCGTCTGGATCATCCCTTCCAGCTCTAATATTTATTTGATTTATTTTATAGCACATTCTGCCATTGAGCAGAGTTATCTTTGTACATATCGTATAATAAACACTTTGAGGGCATATTTTCATCTGTGTTCCAGTGCTGAGGACAGCTCCTGGTGTATGGTAGGCATTTAATGAAAATTTGATGAATTGAATTGAGAATTGCACTCCCACTACTTAGACATTTATTAAGTGTTTACAACACTATGCTAGATCCCAGGAGAGATAGAGATTAATGAGACAATATCCCTGTCCTCAGAGATGTTATAATCTTGTAGGTCAGGCTCTCACTTGTTTCCTTCCCTTCCCCTATCCCAACTTAGAATATCTCACTTCACTTGTTTTTGGTCTCCCCTCCCCTCTCTCCCTTTCTAGGGTCATGGATCCCTCCATCTGTCCTACCTCCCTTGCCGAGGTAGGGCCCTTTGTGGTTTCACTTCCTCTTCCCACTCTTTTCTGCCCTGTCCTGAAACTGAAGGGCCCCAAAGGCAATTTCTCTTTTTCTCTTTACTCTCACTTTAGTTGGTCTAAGAAAGAGGTCAGACTTGTCTCCTAACAGGGAGAATCAGAGAATTTTAGAGCTAAAAGTGAATGTATAAGAAAGAATACTGGATCAGGAATTAGAAGACCTGGGATTAAGTGATGGATGTGTTCTGAGAAGTAAATCAGTTTACTTCCCTGAGCCTCAGTTTCTTCGCTTGTAAAATGAAGCTAAGACAGTAACCCTGCCTACCAACAGGGTTGGTGTAAGGGTTGGATGAAACAATGTATATGAAAGTACTTTGTAACCATTTTGCTTTACAGATACAAGATAAATTTAAAGTTTAACTAATGTTTATTATTTAGTGGATACAAAATGGATACACTGATACTGTTCTCAAAGAGTTTAAGATCTAATGGGGGAAGGATAAGTTTACAAAATAAGGATGAAACAGAGCAAGTGAGAGAAGTATAAAGAGGAGACTAGCCAAAGACACTTGAGGAGGGAAAGATCATTTTAAGCAGAATTGGGGTAGAGATGACCCCTGAATTGGGCCTTGAAGGTAAGAAGAGACTTAAATACATGGAAATAGGGGAGAGGAAGAGTCCATTCCAGGCATAGGCATAGTGTAAGCCAGAGGTGTCGAACAAAAGGAGTTTAACAAAATAAATAAGAATACCATAAAACATAAGTAATGTTAATTTGTGGTCTTCTAAGCCCTCTGGGATTCATTTCTATTTGAGTTTGACACCACTGGTATAAACAGAGGCAGGGAGATGAGAAGGGGCATGATGGGTATTGAGGAGGAGGAGTAGCCTAGTTTGGCTGGAGTATAGACTACACAGTGGGAAGGGGGGTGGTATAATGTTGGAAAGGTAGGTTGGAGCCAGATTGTGAAGGGCCTAGAATAACAGAATAGGGAGGGTATGCTTTTATTTGGTAGATGGCTTGGTTGTTATTATCAACCCTCCTCATTTTATAGATGATTCAACAAAGATGGTTAGAGCTGCATGTTGACTTGGCAAATTCTAGCCCTCAGGCTTCTCTTTACTATGCTATTGTTAATAATAATTTTATACTCTTATGTAAGTGTTTATTGTGCCTGGCCAACAGAGCTGGGCTTCTGGCCCAGTAGCCTGAGAGAGACAGGCCTCAGCACATGGGAGGGTTGTGCAGCTGCCCAAGAAGGGTGTGGGTGGGTGGATGGCCATGAGTTTCTGGGTTCCATGCCACAGGCCTCCCCAGATCTGGTTCTGGGTGGGATCCCCAGAGGGGCTACTTAGGTGGTAAAATTTGGAGGAGTTGAGGAGATGGCTTATGGTTGGATGGTTGGTAGAGTAGGAGGGTATTCTAAACCCCCAGGCCCTTCAGAATTCACACAGAAGGCGTGGGAGAAGGGGGTAGAGAAGCCAGGAAGATGATGTGCTTTCTTGGAGTGAAGGGATCAAGTTGAGGAATGTAGGAAAGTAGACAGCAGATGGCATGGAATGGAGAACTAGGGAGGTGAGCTGTAATTTAAATTCAGACTCTCAAAGAACCAGCTTATTTGATGAAATTATTCAAGAATCATTTCTTTATGTCCCTTGATAGAGTCTCAAAGCTATTAGTTAATGCATATAATAGAAAATATCGTCATGTGACTTTCCAGGGCATGTTATTTGTCACTGGTAAATTGGTTTTCCACCAAACTTTGCCATCAGTATTTTAATTGTAATGAGGCTTAGGCTCAAGGCCATATTGTGTTAAAGGGGTATGAGGACCTGCTTAGCCTGTAACCAAATGTTAAGTCATTTTGTCCTCCTGTCAACAATATTTATTACTTATTGAATACCTATTGCATAATGGTCACTGTGAAAAAGATAGAAAGAAATAGAAAATAAAGGCCTTAATCTTGAGGTGCTTATATCCTGGAGGAGAGGAGGAGACATGAGACAAGAGCCCAAGATATTTAAAAAGCATCATGCAGGTGAGGCCAAATGAAGAGATTTATGTTGAATATTTAAGTGTTGAAGGGACCCTAAATAATCAATCAGAAAATCAATATGCATTTATTAAACTCCCACAATGTGGCAGGTACTATGCTAAGCACTGGGGATATAAGGGAGGGGGCACAGCTGGAGGGAAGGCAAAACCTCCACCCTCCAGGAGCTTCCATTCAAATGGGGAAAGCAACATGTTCATAGCCATATGTAAAACAGGTACTAAGTAACCTAACGGGGAAGCAGCAGCAGCCAGGAGGACAAGAAAGGGCTTCCTGCAGAAGGTGGCACTGGAGCTGAATTTTGGAAGAAAGCAGGGGTCCCAAGAGAAGGGGGTGAGGATGGGAATGCTTCTGACGCAGGAATGTTCCAGGCCCAGGAACAGCCAAGCATCAGGGCATAGAAATGAGAAATGGAGTGTCTCATGAGAGGAACAGCAAGAAGGCTGGTATGACTGGACTACAGAATGCATAATAAGGCAGGAAAAGTAGGAGGGGGTGTAGATTGTAAAGAGCTTTAAATGCTAAATGCAGTCATTTGAGCCTGGAGGTAATGGAGAGCCACTGGAGTTGATTGAGAAGGGGAGTGACATGATCAGATCTGTGCTTTAGGAAAATCACTTTTGTAATTGATATAGTGGCAAGGTGAGAATCAAGTAGGTAAATACAAAGAAAGCGTTTCCTAGAGACTGGGGATTTTGAAGAAGATACTGAATGTGGATTGGGTAGCATGTACAAGATGGTGTTTTCGTCAAAAAGAAGGTTGGAACAGACATATTATGTGGGGGGTAAGCAACAAATTTGCTTGACTGGAGTAAGGAAATGACAAGAAATATTAGATAGGCACTGAAAGGAACTTGGAATATGGGTCAGAGGATGAGGATGTATTCTATCTGAGAGTCTAGAACCAGCTCCTTTTGAATGGTCAGAGGAGTCAGATTGTTTCTAGGAGTGGTGGAAATGGGAGAGTCTTGGGTTTGCCTTGGCTGGGCAGTGCCCCTGAAGTGGCATCCATTCACCCACTTGTGCTCTGCCTCTTTCTCCTAGTGTGCAAGTATGTAGCCGTGGAACTGAAGTCAGCTTTTGAGGAGACGGGCAAGACCAAGGAAGTGCTTGACACTGGCTATGGCATCCTAGACCAGAAAGCCTCCAGAGTCAAATATACCAAATCGTAAGTGAGCAGTGGGTACATAAACCTGCCTTACTCTGTTTGTGGACATGACAGGGACTCGTAGTTTTCTCTCTGACCCCCTCCCGTCTCCCAGGAGAGAACAGTGGCACACAAGGCTGTGTGGTGGAATGGAAAGAACATTGACTTAGAAGTCCAGAGAGTTGAGTTTTGGTTCTGGTTTTGCCACTAACCAGTTGTTTAACCTTGAGCAAGTGATTTCCCTTCTGTAGGCCTCCCTTTCCTTATCTATAAAAGGAGAGGGTTTGATTAGATGTTCTCTCTAAGGCCCCTTCTGGCTCTGGCATTCTATGATTCTGTGATCCCCCAGGCAGGAAAAACCTGTCCCCATTCCTCTGGTGGCAGCAGCAGGGGCCATGTGGAAGTGGGTGGGGAGATCACTACCCTTTGTGTTGGCATTTCTTCAGGGATCTTCGGTTAATTGAAGTAACTGAGACCATCTGCAAGAGACTTCTGGACTATAGCTTGCATAAGGAAAGGAGTGGCAGCAACCGGTTTGCTAAGGTTAGCATCATGCCCTTCGTTCCCTCTGAGTCCAGGGTGTGTGTGTGTATGTGTGTGTCTATGTGTGGATCTGTGTGGGTGTGATTTGAAGTACAAACCGTGGGACGTCTTATTTCCTGAAGCTGGCCCCACCTGCTCTTTATCAGTTTCTGTCTGTACTCTGTTTAACCCTCTCAGCCCCACCTTTTATAGATGAGGTTTGTGTTTTTCTCATTGACTGACATTAGGGATATTCCTAAGGGCCTGACAGTGCTGATCAAGATCCCTGAAGCCCCAGTGGCAGAGATGGTCAGAATTACCTATTGGTGGTGGGAGATTATGCCAGCTTCCAGACTTTTAGAGCTCTTCCCAAAATTGGCTAGGTCTCGATCGAGAAAGGGGACACTGAAGGAATATCAGCAAGAGGTTTAGGGAATAGGAAGGGCAGCTTTTGAGCGAGGAGTTTGGGTTGAGGCTAGAGAGTGAAGATAGGAGTAAGAAGTCACAGCTGCTGATCAGGAGCACAGGAGGAAGGCCAAAGTCAAGGCCAGCAGCAAGATAGAGAGGCAGCAGAGGTAGAATGTGAAAGGCCCCGTTAGCATTGTTGCCGAGTGGTTCCTGTTCAGGTGTGTGCCAGACTAGATGCTCTCCGAGGCCCCAGCAACTCTGAGATGCTGTGATTTTGTGGTCCCTGCAGCCTGACATAAAAATGTTCATTACCTTGAATTGATAGCTCTTTTCTGGCACCTTCAAGGGTTGAAAGGGGCAAGTGGGCCAATACCCTTATGTTTCTTTTTCTTAGGGTATGTCTGAGACTTTTGAAACACTCCACAACCTAGTCCACAAGGGGGTGAAGGTGGTGATGGACATTCCCTATGAACTGTGGAATGAGACTTCAGCTGAGGTAGCCGACCTCAAAAAGCAGGTATGTGCCCAGGGAACTCCCCCGCCTATTCTCAGTGTCATTCCCTCCTCTTCTGCAAATTTTCATAGAGGATTTTGTTTGCATTTCTCCTTTTTTCACTTCACCATATATTTATTTGTGCATGATTCCTCCATTTCCTTTAATTTTTGTATTTCCTCACGAACCTAACAGTGCACTGCATGTAGAACCAAGTAAGTGTGGATGTTACATTTGATGCCATCATAGCAAGATAGTGTCTAAGAGACGAGCTTGGACTATCTCCTGGGGAAAAGACAGGGCATGAGTTCCCGAGTCCTCAGGCCCCTCAGTGCCACCATTTTAGTCTCTGTCAGTGAGTCCCTCTTCCACATCACGAGCAGATGTAGATTAGAAGCATGAGCCTCCCTAGAAAATATCTTAATGTGGCCCTGCCAACAGAGATTTCAAGGATTTGGTAGTGGTAGTGGTTTATAATGTCAGTATCCCTTCCTGAAGCTCTTAGATAGGCCTAGGTTTCCTTTATAAAAATGAAGAAATTGGACTAGCTGATTCTGAGGCCTCTTCCAGGTGTGACGTTCTAGGTTATGTGTGTCTGTGTCTCTGTTGGCTTCTGCCTTAGTGTGATGTGCTGGTGGAGGAATTTGAGGAAGTGATTGAGGACTGGTACCGGAACCACCAGGAAGAGGACCTAACCTCCTTTCTCTGCGCCAATCATGTGCTAAAGGGGAAAGATACAAGTGAGTGAGAGCTGGGGCTGGGGCTGGGGGTGTGGGGAGACTCGGGTTAGTTATCCCTGATAGGAAACCTGAGTTTGGTGAATCCTGGGAAAATAGGGGTGGGGATCTCTGATAATAGAGATCTTGTCCTTGGGGGCTACAATTCCACAAGGTTTTGAAAAAGATGCAGAATGTTTACCAAGTAGAATCCATGTAAGTTTAACTTGTGAGCCAGGAGAAGCGTGTTTGTCTAGGCTGTCAGGCAGGGGGCATCAGAGGCAAAGGCCCGAGGTGAAACCATCAGAGCTCACACATATGCGGCACTTTTTTGTTCATCCGGCAAATGTGTATTCAGTACCTGTTACTATGTGGAAGACGCTGTACTAAGGATACAAAGACAAAATGAAAAACAATTGTGGCCTTTACGGGGCTTACATTATACATTATTCTTTGCAAAATTCCTTCCTCACTATCCAGTAAGGTAAACAGGGTAAATATTTTTAAAATTAAATTTTGGTGAGGTTTTATCAAGAATTCATTTTTTTTTCCTCTGTTCTACTCCTCCTTCCACTGGAAAAACAAAGGAAAAAACCCCCCAAAAACTCTTGTAACAAATAAGCACAGTCAAGCAAAATCTGTCCAAGTAGGGGTATGCTGGCTGTGCCTAAGAATGTGTCCTGTTCCACATAGTAGTCCATCATCTCCCAGGCGTGAGGTTGGTAGCATGATGAGGATCAGACTTTGAAATCATGCTCTTATGGTTTTCCCCATTTTATACATAAAGAAACTGAGGCTTGGAGAGATTAAGTGAATTGCCCAGCGTCACACAGCTAATGAACATTGGAGCTGGGATTTGAACCCACTTCTGACTGTAAAGCATGCGTACTGAATGAATACAAGGCTGTCCCTTGTATCCCTGTGCATGCTCCCTTTCCTCAGCATCCTCTCCTAAGCATTAGTACAGTAGCCCCAAGGCCAGCAGTTGATGCCCATCAGGTACTTGGCAGATAAACTCTCCTGGTTGTTGCTGGTTATCTGAGCATTCTGTCCCTTCCCCTCTCCTCTCACCAGGTTGCCTGACGGAGCAATGGATCAGCAAGAAAGGGGACACAGCAGCCCTGGGAGGGAAGAAAGCCAAGAAGAAGGGGGGCAAAGGCAAGGCATCCAACAAGAACAGCAAGCAGAGGAAGGATCCAAGAAACCTAGATGAGGACCCTCATCCTGAGGAGGATGAGGGTGTCCAGAAAGCCACCCCTCTCACACACAGCCCCACCGATGAGCTGTAGAATCCAACCATGCACCCCATCTACTGCCCCGGGGGTGCAGAGGGAAGCGCTTGGCTGAGGGAGACTCTGTTCTCTTATGCCTCTGGCAGACAAGAATGGACTCCCCAGCTCTGGGGGTTCACTGCACCCCCTGCTGTGCCCTTGTCTCGCTGAGGATTACAGAGCCTGCCCTTCCTTTTCCCTTCCTGGCAGCTGCTTCTCTCCTGGGCTTGAAAGAAGAGTTGTGTGGTGGCCCCAGAGCTAAAAACTGCATTGTAAACCTTCGAGGGATGGGTCTGAGCATTGCCAAGCCCTCAGGGAGGACTCCATCCCTCATTGTCCCATTGGTGCACCCCCACCTTCTTCTAGTGGGGGTGGTTCAGCAGCACCACTCCCCCTGTATCAGAAACACCTCTCTCCTGGCCCCAGTCCTACCAGGAAGGCCTTCCTCACCCCAGTCCTGGTTGAGGCTGTCTTCCCCAGGGCTCTAGCCCCACCACAACCATGTGATGCCCGGTCTCTACCCCTCCCTAACCCATTTTACTGCACAATGTGCAGAGTAAAAAATATTTGGCCTTTTTACTCTGTGTCCTAACTCCCTTTTCTGTGCCTCTCAACTGGCTTTCCTCCCATTCTTCTACCCAGAATTCATGGGACTTGGCATAAGGATGGTGCAAAGGGTAGTGAACCCTTTTTGGCCCTTGATTTCCCACTTACTCTGGGGAGTTCTCGCAAGCTGATCAGGAAGAGCAAAAGCAAAGAGGAAATCCTGGGAAACCTAAGAGCAGTGGGGAGATTGTACATGAGGGGAGTGGGGGGGGGAAGGTAGAGAATGCTGAGAGGAGGGCTCCGGTGGCCCCATTTTAACCTAGTAGGATGGAAGTTGTCCTTATCCCCCTTCAGCTTCACATCAGCCCCTACCCTGATATAGCTGGGCCTTGAAAAGTGACCGCAACAAGGACATTTATAAATACCCCATTCTAGAGTAATAGTCAAAAGGACAGCTGCCTTTGTTCCCACTCGACTTCCTAGAGCCCTTTCCTTTTCTGCTGTAGAATTTGGTAGTCTTCCCAACCCCCTGGCACCAGGCTCCCTTTGTTCCTGTTTTCCCTTCTGCCTGGTCATCCTTTGGCCATCCTTTATGGAGCTGTTCACTGCCATCCTGCCCGCCCTCCCCCCCAAGTCCCTCCTTTGTGATTCCAGGTTTTGTGTAAAGTGTTTACTGCTTCCCGTCCTCAGGGCTGCCCCTTGCCATTGAACTTTGTTCCGTGTCCCCCTCCTCCCCCCCCCCCCCCCCCCCGGTTTTTTTCTGTTCCTTTTGAATGTACCATGTAGTACTCCCTCTCCTCCTCCCCCACCCCAGCCAACACCTGCTCCTTACGTGGTGTCCTCTGAAGTTAGGGGAGGCAAATTGGGGCCCTTTTTATCCCTCCCCTGCTAGTCCTGAAGGAGCAGCTGGGCCCAGGGCTTCCAGCACCTGGCACTAACGGTGCAGGGTACAGTTGGTGTGGAACTGGTTTGATTTCTTCTCCCACACCTCCCCTTCAAGCAGCCATTATCTAGGATGAGGAATATTGAAGGACCCTTCACTATAGTTGCTCCCTTCTCAAATTTAGAGCTAAAAATGACTCCACTTTCTCCTATCACCACCCAGCCTAAGTCCAGGCTCATTGGCCAACAAATGGACATCGCTAAGAGGCATCTGGCTGAATAGGGGTTTGTGAATGCCGAAGTCCTAGTATCCAGCCACTCTCTTAACTCCAGGAGGAGCTAAGGCAGCCTTGGCCTTGAGAAATGGAAGCTTTTTTGTCTTCTCTGGCCCAAACATTCCTCCGGCCACAGACTGTAGAAGAGCAGAACCTGGCCTTAGAGATTACTTCTGGCAGGGGCCTGCATGGCGCCACGCCCCCCCTCCCCCCGACTCTCCTGACATCCTAGGCCAGGTAGGACCCAAAGTGGACCTTTTTCTAAGGTGGCCACAACTGGTTAAATTTCCCCATAGGGTTGGAATTTAGCACTTTTTGGACCTCGATGGCTAGGGCTGACACTTGGAACAGAATTGAGGGTAGAGTAGGAAGAGAACTGAGACTGGGCATGATTTAAGTGGCTCACAGCCTTGTCCCTCAACCTGTTTCTCTTGTCAATCAATATCTGATACCTTCCCTCTCAGTTTCACTAGACAGGACTGTCCTTTGAAAAAGCTTCACAGAGAGAGCCTATCCCTCTATATCCAGAATTAATTTCATTGATTTCTTCGGCAGAAGTTTGGCCTCTTTCTGGGGTGGCAGCCAGGCTGCCCAATCCTGTGTAGCGAGGAGTTTGACTCCAGTCTGACCCTGAACTTTCCCCCTTAACAGCCAGTCTATCACTGTTGTTCCTTTGGTGTTTCAGCTGGCAGGGTCCCTTCCTCCTCTCCTATGTGCATAACATGCTCTCTGACCCCTGCCCTGCCTCCCCTCCATCCATATCCTGGAATCATTGGAGGACCTGATAACACAATGATTGTTCTGTGTCTGTTGCAAGCCCTGCCACCCTTGACCACTTAGCATTTGAGTACATCCCTCCATTCCCCCTGCCTACCCCACCTAGTTCTGTATCCTGCTTCCACCAGATTAAAAAAAAAAAAGTGATGTTGAAGCCAAAACTTCAAGCCAGTCCTCACTCCAAATCCAATGTTCTAAAGATGATGCTATGCTGGTTCCATGCCAACTCCCACCCCCTGAATCTCGAGCCCAGCTCACCCTTATAGACCCTACTGTCTTGGGCCAGATCACCAGTGCTCTGGCGAAGGCAGAAGCTAGGAGCTGGTTTGCTGTGTTAGACATATGGAATTGGGCTAATTGCTTTTCATAATAGCTACCTCTAAGTATGGGGATACATGGGGTGGGAAAGGGTTGTGAGGTGAACTGGAGATAGGATATTATGATCTGACCTAACTGGTTTGTCAATCCATCCCCCTTCTCCTAATCCCTTATCTGTGTTCCTGCTTCATGCCTGATGTCTAAGTGGACAAAGATATAAAGGACATAAAGTTAGCTCCTGACACACAGTCCAATCCCTCCTAGCTGAGATCTTGGAGATTTACTTGTTTGCCTTTCCTTATCTCATCCTTGGTTCCCGGAAACCCAGAAGTTTCTCTTCCCATTGGATACCTGGGATCGAGTTGGAGGGGAGACCTCCCACGACATGCCCCTCTCTTGCTAGGGGTTAGGGAGATGGGGTAGAAGGAAGGCCATTCACAAGACCTGGGAGGTCAGAATCAGCTGGTTCCTGGCTCTGCGAGAAGAGCAGACGGGGGTGTGTCCTGGATCTTATCTGCCATTGGACACGTTAGGCGGGCTGGGCAGAGCCAGGGTAGCCTTATAAGTATTTCGGCAGGTGGCTGAGGTGCCAGGTGGAACTGACAGGATGGTAGACAGTGTGTATCGGACCCGCTCCCTGGGAGTGGCAGCTGAGGGGCTCCCAGACCAGTATGCTGATGGGGAGGCAGCACGGGTCTGGCAGCTGTACATAGGTGACACCCGAAGCCGTACAGCTGAATACAAGGCCTGGCTCCTGGGGCTGCTGCGCCAACATGGCTGCCAACATGTGCTTGACGTGGCTTGTGGCACTGGGTAAAGCTGGGGAAAGGACAGGAGGTAGGGGTGGACACCAGGGCTACAGAACTATTAAGCAAAAAGGTGCGGAGGACAGGCCAGACCAGAATGCTCCTGAAGCAGAGGGGAGCTAGGTGGAAAAAGCAGGTACCTGCCCAGGCAGACTCACCGGGAATTGGAAGATACCTCTTTAGGAATAGGAACAGGGAAAACAGAGTGGGTGAGGGTGGCAAAAATGGACATGTGAGATAGGCATGAATTGTGGGGATGTACATAAGAGTGAAATGGAGTGAGCTGGAAGTGAGGGCATGGTGGGAAACAGACTAGAAAGGTGTCAAAGGAACTTTCCAAAAGTAAAATGGGCTGTCTCTCTGGTGGTTGTGAGAAAGAAAGTCACTTGAGTCACTATAGAGGGGAGTCATGCTTTGGGTATGGGTTGAACTGGATGACTTCTAGGTTCCTTTCCAATTCTGAGTATTTTTGATTCAGTGAGTTGAGTAGTGTGTGTGTGTGTGTGTGTGTGTGTGTGTGTGATCAATGTCAGGGGTAACTCATTCACAAGTATTGGGTTCCTCCTTCTGGTTTTTCTGGTCCCCAGTTCTTCCTTTGACCCTCAGCCCTCATTCCAAAAATGGCCTTCCTGTCCTTACTCTTCCTAAACCCTGCTTGTCTCCATCACTCCTCTCTACCCTTTTGCCCTCTCCCTCTAATCCATTTTGTCCTCATTCTCCCCACCTTCCCTGGCCCATCTTCTCTTCCCTTCCCCCTCCCTCGATCCTGTCATTGCCTGCTGGACCTGGCACAGGGTGGACTCCATCATGCTAGTGGAAGAGGGCTTCAAAGTGACCAGTGTGGATGCCAGCGACAAGATGCTCAAGTACGCCCTGAAAGAACGGTGGAACCGTCGTCACGAGGAAGCCTTTAACAAGTGGGGTATGTGGGACCAGGTGACGATCTTGGCATAGGAACAGAGGGGCCATACAAAGAACTAGCATCCTTCACATGCTATCCTCTGAAACACACTGAACTAGGTGAATTCTAGTTCTGGTTCTGCCATTACCTGCTGTGTGATTCTGAACAAATCACTTTTGTCTGGGCCTTAGTTTCTTCCTTTGTAAAATAATGGTGTGGGAATAAGTAGAATAGTGGAGCAGCAAGGGAGTAAGGTGAATTTGGTGAGGAAGACCGGGGTTGGAATCCTGCCACAGGCTCTTCCTAGCTGTGTGACCCTAAACATCACTCGGGTGGGGACCCTGCAGCCTCAAGGCCCCATGTGGTCTTCTAGGTCTTCAAGTTTGGCCCTTTGACTGAATGTACACTTCACACAACAAATCCCCTTAGTAAAAGGATTTGTTCTACAAAACTTGGACTCAGTCAAAAGGCTGCACCCAAGGATCTAGAAGGCCACATGGTCCCTAGGCTGCAGCAGGTTCCCCACCCCGGAACCTTTCCATGCCTCATTTTCCTTCCTGTAAAATGGCCTCCAAGGTCCCTGCTAGCTCTAACCCAAAATTCTATGACCAGATGATCCAACTTTCCTTCTAGCTCAACATTATGAGTCTGCAAGTAAGCATTTGTGGCTTCTTCCTATTTTCTAACCTTTTCTGCTCATAATTCATGCCTTGGTTTTGTTCTGGTTTGATTTCTGTTTTTCTCTTCACTGTAGCTTCTCTTCATGGGCTCTTGTCTCTTAAGGTCAGTGACCTATGGGCTTAGTGTCTCTTTCCGAGGTTGACCTCAAAGTCAAATCTTCTTGAGGCAAACCACAGGGATCTGCCCCTTGCCCTTAGCTCTCAATTCTTCCAATCCTCTTCATTTTTTTTTTCAACCCTCATCATTTCCCCTGAGGTTTGGGTCCCTAAACTCAATCATGCCACTCCTTCTTGCTTTGGTAGCATGGTACTGGGCATCAGGATGATTTACTTTTAATCCTCCATTTGCCATTTACTCAGCTCTGACATTGGGACAAATCTTTCAATCTTCTTG